TCGTCAATCCTTTTATTAACAGTGTCAACATTTTTAACTAAATTGTTTATAGACGACTCAAATTTTTTCAGCTTTTCGTCAATTTACCAGACCTACTCCTTTGTTTAATTTTTTTATATTTACAAATTTTTAAAAAATGATGCTTGTGAATTATCAAAGTTATTAGAGTATTGATTAAATTTAAATCTGGCATGTAAAATTATTTAAATAATTTTAAGATTTGCATTAATTTAATTAATTTTTGTAAACGTTTAGTTAAAATGATTAATTCTGAACATCTGACAATTATAGCAGCGTATTATTATTTACTAGTTTTACATGCAGTGTTTAAGGTTTGAGTACTCTTCTAATACTTCAAGTTCTAGCTTGATTTTATTCGGAGGAAGTTTTTGGATTATTCCAGATTTGTTTGCAGACAATAACATCAAAAGTTCTACCAACTTATCTATTTATAATAAAAAGTAATATTTTAATTCAAAGATTGAAATAAATCTGTTCACCTGATTTCCCGTACTTTCAAATCAGTTTACTCCAAATGTTTATTTATTTGGGTGGAATTTATTTGTCAATATGTTTACTTATTGAAGTAAAGAGATCAATCGATAGCAGGTACAAATATTAATAGATATTTTATTAGATGACATAGATAAACATTTTTATCATTCGTTTACCTAATATAACATCACAATTATCTGATTGATATCATTTTTTCGGAATTGAAGACCTAAAATTGAAAACTTATTGGAATGTTGGTTTTGTGGGTGAAAATTTAAATGTGTAAACACTGAAAAGGACAAATGATTTGAACTTATAGAAGTGTTTACATTTATTGATGTAATTCAGATGAAATTTGTTATTTCAATAACTTCTTCTGGTCTTTTTATGTAAATAAACTCTATTTAGAAATCCTTTACATTTTTTTGCAAAGAATTAGGCTGTAGTCCTGCTTTGAATACATGTTATTTTTTTATTAAAACTGATATCGGTGAATCTTAACCTTATTAATGAAACTTCTATCAAATCGTGAGAAGAGGTGGCATAAGTTAATTTAAGTTCAAAATCTTTTGATAACTATATGCAAGGACATGATTTTTTTTCTGTAGATTTGAATACTTTACTGACTATTTTTACCCTCGTATTCATTATATATAATTACTTTAATCATTTATATATGTACTATTTAGCTTTTTTTTTCTGAAATACTAAAATGTGTATTTTGAAGGTTAGGGTTTTGTGCCAAATTGTTTGATCTCATGCCAATGTTAAGCTACCGAAAGGGCATATTGGCAAGTTCAAGATATAAATAAGAAAATGTATTCTCAGAAAGTATTGAAAATTGATAAAAACATTTGTGAGCATTAGAACCAAATGGACCTTAACAATTCTTTTTTTAAAGTCAGGCTTGCAGGAGGGAGTTTTATCCTGAAAATTGCAGGCAAAATATATCATTGGCTGATCACATCCCTCAAAAACCATAGGGCTTGCTACCTGTCAGATGGAACCTTAGGGACTGACAACAACAATGATATTAAATGGCACAATTTAATTCTAATCAAACATCTTCTGATAAAGATTATCATCTTTACACATAATGATATATAGACATGAAACTAGTTTAATCCCGCCACATTCTGTATGTGCCTGTCCCAAGTCAGGAACCTGTAATTCAGTGGTTGTTGTTTGTTGCTTTGTTACATATTTGTTTTTCCTTCATTATTTTGTACATAAATTAGGCCGTCAGTTTTCTCGTTTAAATTGTTTTACATTTGTTATTTCGGGACCTTTTATAGCTGACTTTTCGGTATGGGCTTTTCTCATTGTTGAAGGCCGTACGGTGACCTATAGTTGATAATTTCTGTGTCATTTGGTCTATTGTGGGGAGTTGTCTCATTGGCAATCCTACCACATCTTCTTTTTATATGATGGTTGACAACAATGGTCAATATTCCAGTGGTATAGTATGAAGTACTAAATGTTTTGTGCCAAACAATAGTTTCAAGAGTAACCTTCATTATGTTAGATTACAGTCTTCACAGTTAACCTCAAGCCCGACAGCCCTGTCCAGTATAAATTTTGTTGGGCCAGTAAAATTTTCTAGAAAAGAGGCATCACAAGCCGTATAAATTTAAAGAAACTTTTTATAAGAGACTGATATTCAGACTTTTAGGTCCAGAGTTTTTCATGAAGACTATGAAATGTCATGCTGATAAAAGATATTCATTTGATGTTTAGATGAATTTATGATAATTTTGGACATATGTTGATCAGATATTCATCTGTGTAGTATACCTGGAAGGTTTTACATTGACATATAGTCTGTGTACAGGGGTGTATGATCTGCTTATACCAATTATTTTGTGGTTTAGCAGATGAAACAGAAAGGATTGTCACAACTCTTTGTTATCCTGTCTTACTTGTGTGGTTATTTAAAATTTAATTGAGAAATTATTTGATTGACCCATTAAGAGTTTAAAGTGGTTTTGTGGCGGATACATCTACAGAGGACCTTGTTTTTAGGTTTCCTGAAGCTGAATTAGTTTAGAGACTTGTTCCCTTTAGCATGCTTGAAAATATATCTTGTTTATTATAGATTATAGACATAGCTCTTGTACCAGGACATGTAATTAATATTTTGTAGTAATTTAACCTGTGTGTGAACTGAACACTTAAAATATTTAGCTCTTCAGGGGTACAGTCAAGATAGGTGTCACTGTAGCTGTGTTGTCAAGCAGCAGAATTGTGTTCTGTACCAAAATGCTCAGATGGATGCATTATTTTTACAAATTTAGTTAACTGTTTATTACATTTCACTGTTTTATGATTAGGAGTTAAACAGGATTAGTTATTTTTCTTGTGTTAGGTGTTTAATTTCCATCAAATCAAATGGATGATATCTTAAGGCTACATCATTGGCATTGCCTATGAAAAAAGCCATAGAAAAGTTTATCAATGGTCTTTCAATCTCAAATGAAAGATGCTCTTTGCTAAATCTTATCTAAGGGCTGTTGCCTTTTGATGAGATTGAAGCAGAGAAACTAATTCTGGTTTGAAAAGCAAATTTTATCATAAGCTGTTTAAAAGATACCAGGTGTTTATCAAAATTGCTCAAAAAGGACCAACGTCACCAAGTTCAGTAACATAAAGCAAGCTAGTCAGTATATTGATACAGATTTGAATAGCTAGCTAGTGATTTTGTAAAAAGCTCTAGATAGAATTCAAACTAGTTAAATGATAATTGTTTGACATATATATGTTTAATGCTGTAAGAAATAGATGTTGGGTTGCTGTCTCATTGACATATATCCTACATCTCCTTTTATAAGATGCAGTGGAGTAGACAAGACTGAAAACATTACAAATGTAATACGGTTTGACATAACTATTTTTCCTTGATGGATGATTTTATAAAGGGATGGGTGCTTTTACTTGTACGACATAAAACACTACATGAATTTATAAGAGGGTTGGGTGTGTTGACACCCAAGTTAAAACTACTGGTATGGCCTTTAAATTAATGACATAGTGGAATATTTACACATCATTTTAAAGAGGACACAATTTTATTTGCATAGTTCTTATATAGCAACTTCATCTAAAATTTAAAAGACATTAAATGCACATTTTATGTCTGAGAAGCATGAAATACTGCACTGAGATTTATATCTTGTATCAGTGTCCTATTTCACTAAATCAGTGAATGGGTATGAAATATACCATAAATAGGTGATTTAAAGTAATTAAAATTTCAAATTTGTATTTTGATAAAATCTCTGTCAGTCATCATGTACCATTAAAACTTAAAATATACATTGACTAGTGCTATTTAAATCTTCACAACAATGAAAATACTTTCCTTTACCCACTGTGCAAAAAAAAACCATATGGTAACAGTTGATGCAAAATATGTCATTCATGAAGTTATTGGGTTGAACATGTATGAAAATTCATGAAATTTATATCATAGATAGAATGGTGTTTTGATTTTAGGACAGGACCTTCATTTTTTAAGCCTACAAAGGCTTTTTGGATGTCAGGTGTAAGCAATATTATATGTTGTGTGTCTTAATTTAGGAAAAATTTATGGCATAATGTAATGTACCCCATAATAAGGTTAAAGTTTAGTCCTGATATGAAAAACTTGAATTTATTAACAAACAATATGCAGGTCATTTCATCATAAATCTTAGAAAAATTAGAAATTAAAAATTGGCCTGTGCTGAAATGATCATAAATCATCAATCTTAAATTTCTGAAAAAAAAACCATGAATAAAATATTTTCATTGTTAATTTACATAATTAAAAATAACTGTTCAAAGTTTAATAGCTATCTGCTGGGATTTATCCAGGATGACATAGATAAGTTATAAAAATTACTAACTGTTAAAAAATAGTAAATTTTACACCTATAATTAGGCCGATCCATATAATAAGCTTAAGGGGAAACAGGTTATGTTCAATGACTACCTGTTCTCCTTAGTGAGATAATACTGACAAGATTATTGGACCTGTGTCATTTATTTAAAAGGATCAAGCTCATCCAGGTACTAATTGTTTTGATTAATTAATGACATGGTTTAACGAGTCATTTCATGTGTTTCAAAAAATCTTGATATAATCTTGCAATTGTGTTCAGAACGGGAAAAAAAAATTGTCATAAGGACATTGCTGTGACATGAGATATTTTCAGTCAGTACATGTATATGCGAAGAACAGAGATTTTTTAATCAACATAGGATGTTATATTTCCATTAAATGCAAGGATTAAATCATGATTAATTGGAAAGGACAGAGTTGGAAATTAGCCTGAGATCTGAGATAATCTGTGCATGTAAAACTTGTAGAATTTGAAAGTAACAGCCTCTGAGAAGTTGAAAGATTACATAAAACTTTACAGAAATTTAAAGTTATATTTAGAACAGCTTTATTTTGACATTAAGGTGACTTTATTTAGACATTAAGGTGACTATTTAATTGTTGTAAATGAATAGTGGGCTGAATAAAAAGGCCATTAATCAGCTATGGACAATTAAATCTTTGCTGACCAGAGTTGTATTACAATGACTAAGGAGGTGACTGCATGGTCCTGGAAACTCTAGTGATATTTTATATAAATGACAGGACATGGATACTGGGTTACATTTTAAACTGATTGGTGTTTAACCTCAAGAGAAATAATAGTTGATTAAAAAATGATTGGTGAAATAGTGCCCTGAGATATATGTTTTAAAACAATTTCTTTACTTGGTAACTTTGATCATTGAATCTACATTGCATTTTACATCATCAATGGAGCAAAAATATTCAGTATACATTGTTGGATGTAAGGAACAGAATTCACTCATCTGAATAATTGTCAATAATTGGACAACATTCTGTTGTGCACTTTTACATAAGATTAACAATACTTATATGCATAACTAGACAAATGACATATATATACATGTGCCTGGAGGAATTTAAAATTCAAGGACTGAAAATCTTGAGTTATTTATGTTCAGTTGTGAAGAATTAGGATCGGAATATAAAATAAAAAACAAAGCATCCTTTGCATTGGAGCAGATGTTAGTTTTTTCTATCAAATACTGAAAATAGGAATGGACACATCACTTAGATTAGCAATGAAAAAAATGGATCATTTTAAAATACAGCTGTTTTGACAACTAGAAACCAGTAGTTTTGTGTGTCTTCCAACTGTAGGATTGAAATATAAATAAGTGAAATACTATCCATAGTTTAAACAACTTGTAATATACAAATAGACGGTTTTGTGTATCATATATAAAGTTTACAATAGATTCATTTCATGCTGGCTATCTGAACACTTGTTTAACAGGAGACTTTAATGCTTTAAGGACGAGATCACAAAGTGTGTTTATGAAATACTTTGGGCACATCTCCAAGAAGTTGTCATTGAATGTGATCAGTTTTTGAGGTTGAATGGATGATGATCAAAATATCAACCTATTGATTTGATTTCTGCGATTTTTGTTGTGTACGTAAAGCAAATACTGGAATTGACCCAGTATGGAAATCTCCCTGAAGCTCCAATGATAAAGTAAATGTTGAAACTAGTCGATACTTTAAGTTTAAATTACCAAAGGGGCTAATAAATAATACAAGGTGAAAGTCATTTTGATATTGAAATTAAGAATTAAAACTGGACTTATGTTAGGTGACTTTAATTCTTAAAAAAGGTGAATACGATGCATACAACCGTTTGAATGGGAAAAATTCTTTAAAGGAAGTTAACGGCAAGATGTCATGTAGAGAGAAAATGTGTCAACATAAAATCCATGTATTTGGCAAGGATTATGAAAATATTGAATTAACTGTAATTAGCATGTGACTTTCTGAAATCATAACTGCTTTGTTTGTAAACCAGTTAATCAGATTTGAATTAGAATGTTTGTTTTATTTTTGGAGCCTTAAGGATTAATATGTGGCTAAAGTATTAAAGGAAAATCAGCTGGACATTTTACTACCTCAGAAAATTTATATTTGGTGCTAAAGATGTTAACATGTTCTGTCGCTCTTTGGATCTTAGGTTTAGAATCTCGTAACTTTAGTGGCGTGGATATATGAAACAATGTAATTTAGTTGTTGTTTACCTCAGACAGTGGATTACGTGATGAGCTCTAACTTTGATCAGGGATTACATCACTTGGACGTGCCAAATAAGGATGTTGAAGAGGAATTGTGGTCCTCTCCGTTAATGCATTATACCTCACCCTTTGATGATTATAAGGAATTATTTGATGATATTGAAAATGACCAAGTTTTCAAATTCCCAGATGTCTCTAATGGACCAATGAAGGACTTGAGTAAGTTTCTAGGTTCTAAATGGTTATCTTTTGTTAACAGTATAGGGTCAGATCAGGTAGGCAACGATAGTAATATTTTCTGTAATCATTTAACGTTGTGTTGCAAGATGCATGATGCTGATACACTTGCATAATTGATAACATTTTTTGGGGTTCCTTATACACCAAATTTTTCTACAATTAAAGTAAAGTGCTGTAGATAATTTTTCCAATTAACGGTGAAAATTTATACTTAAATTAATCCTTCACGTTTTTAAATTTCACTGCTCTTTTCTCGTGAGAATATGCTGAAGGAGGAAATGTATTCTAATGAACATGCAAATATTTTGGATGATTTATTCATTTCAGGTACATGTATTTATCTCAACCTTGCATACATGTAATGTTGAATAACTTGTTGTTTGGTTTGGCTTCTGTATGCCATAATCATGATAATATTTTTATAACTAAGGTAATTAATTATCAGGTACATCAAGTATATGATAGGCAGATAATTTTGACAGTTAGTCAGATTTACTTGCTGTTTGTGTGTAAAATTACGAAATCTTAGGCCACACAATCAGCTTAAGTAAGATAGAAAATATTTGAAAGTCTTATACTTCAACTACTTGTTTACCAAACAAGGGAACATGAATGAAAAAAATATTTTATCAATCTTAATTGCATATATCAAATCTTTCATAATAAGGCCATATTGCATTTATTTCTTTGAAGAAAATACAAGGGGAAAGATTGATGGGAATTCTTATGGTAATTTGTTAATTGATTGTCATCAAATTTGTCAGAAATTTTAAAAGACTATTAAAAAAGTTTAAGTTTTGTTTGAAAATTGAAAAAAACAGGGAGGGAGGTAGGAGGGGATAAAAGCCTTAAAGTATATTTCTGATTGCTTAAGTTAAATAATCAGTGATAAAAATAAGGAAAATTTCTGTCAATTTTTTTTATGTATTTAGGTTTAAATGAATGATATTTGACACTAGTTTCTTTGATGTAGCAAAGTATCCACCCTTACATACAAAAGAGTTAATTTCTTTACTAGATAAGGTTACTGTGACCATCAGATAATTCTATTTTCCCTTCCTTCCTGCTCTTTGTTTGAATTTTCATTCAGGAAAAAAGTTTAGAATATCATTTAGTTAAATAGGGAAATGACAACATGTAACCTTGCTATGTCCTCTCTTATTGTGGATCTAGCATACCTTACTGCAAATCTACAAAATCTGTAAAAGATAGGGGGTGGAGGTCAAACACAACTAGACAATTTCAACTTTTTTATAGTGAACTCAGCTGCTTGAAAGAGATGAAGAGACAAACCCACTTACATTTCACCAGATTATATTCATATAGGAAATGTAAAATCTAAAACAATTTTGCTGTGGATGGTATATATATATTTTGATTGAAATTTATGACACAAGGGTTGAATGAGGTTAAACATTAAAAGAATGTAAACTTCTTCAGTATTTTCAGTCATTTGTTCAGTATCTGTGAAATGACAGTAGGCGAGTTACGACAGTAAAACAGGTTTTAAATTTATGATAGTTTTAGGTCCTTCAGGGTGTGAAGCACTTCTTAAGTTTATATTTTTTGTTTTATTTGTATAACTCAAGGCCAGGTGATCTTCGTGTAGGACGTCAGGTTTCAGGACTTTGGTTACATAATTATAGGTTTGTACAAAAAACTGAGGTCCAATTATGAGATGACTAACTTTGCTAGAATTACAGTGATTATTGTTGAAGAGAGTATTGCATATCTAGGATAAAATTTCATATTTCCTTGGTTTTCGTTTTCTCCTATTCCCCCCAATTTTCATAATATGCAATTTGGTTTTTAATGACACTGATTTTTACATGATGTTCTAAAGCCTAATTTTAAGTGACCAGTGATTGTTTTTGGGAGGAACTTATGTTTTGATTTTCTAAGATTGCTATTTTAGATGCTGTGGTCCTCAAAATTAGGAACAATAGTGCACCAAGTTTAACCTTGTAAATGTAAAATTTGTTCAACAAATATCTGTAGTTTACATGAGTTTGTTTATTTCCAAAATGATCATATGTCTGCATGAACACATGTTTATTTCCAAAATGATCATATGTCTGCATGAACACATGTTTATTTCCAAAATGATCATATGTCTGCATGAACACATGTTTATTTCCAAAATGATCATATGTCTGCATGAACACATGTTTATTTTCAAAATGATCATATGTCTGCATGAACACAAGCCTAAACCACAATTTTGTCAGGAAATTTCTGTTAGAATGGGAGTTATCAAACTATAGACAAATTCAAGGGTCTTAGGAAAATTTACAAGAACCACCCAAGGAAAACTATGTTACTTTGCAGAAGAGATCGATCCATGTAACATTTGGAGTTTTCCTGTAAATGAGCATTTGTGTCAATTCAGTCAAAACAAAGGAGTATATATAAATTTTAGGGCCTCTTAAGAGGAAACTGAACTCTGACAACCTAAAATGAACTGGTCTTTAGTCGAGCAGACCGCATCTTATTTCTTTTCTCTTCCTGAATATACCTGAAATATTTGCCACTGGATGTTAAGAAAGCAAAAATCAATCTTTTAACTATGTAAAAAAGAATTGTGTAAAATGTCTCCAGTTTAAAAACTTAATAGAAAGCCTTTTTTAAGATAAGCACTTCAAAGACAAAATGGGAATAAATGCATATATGATTATGTAACAGTTACAAGTAAAAAGTCTTAAATTGCCTGTATAAAGGTTTATTTTACAATGGAAGTTTGTTATATTTTATGAATGGGAGGAGTTACCTACCTTTTGGAGCCATAAGGGCTGTGGAACATAAGCATTTATTCAGTATCAAGTTTAAATATGGCTTACAGCAATAATGGTGGGTTTGTTCACCTTAAAAGTTAAGTTTTAACATACAAGCAAGCTAATTAGGCATGCGAAACTTGTTATGGTAATGACAAAATAGTATTGATATGTTACATGTATATTACTTGTTAAAAACTGTCATGCAACTATTTTGATAAATGGTAAAAAGATTTCTATAAAAAAGAAGTAGGAAATGTAGAGCAGGCATCAAATCTGCTGTGGTATTTAGGTTAATCCTTGTGAAATCTGTTAAAGATAGAGGTTTTAGAAGGATACACCTGAAAGAAAAGAAGTGAGAAAAAATTATATAATACCACCAGGTAAATAGAACACTTCAAGCTACATTGTCAATTCTTTAATATTTACCAAAGTCCTTATTCAGGTCACGATTTTAATTGGTAGTAAATTGTGCTGGATTTGATCAAGTTCTTTGTATAAACCCATGTTTTGGAAAGTGAGAATTATAAGTTGATCTCAAAATTTTATTTTTCTCAACTGTACAATCCTCTTTCTGAGGATTGGTGACACACTTAGACTTTATGCTTGAGGGTCTGAATTTTATTTACAATTCGGTTCCTACCCAAGGGTCTTTGGTTAGATTTTTATAGTTAGGTCCCAAAAATATTTCCTCGTTCTATTAATATTTCAACATTTATGTTCTAGTGTTAGCATTTTTTGTATACCCGTACTTGTATTTCCTTAAAACCAGGGCAGCCATGGCAGATAGACATATCATCATCTAGTTAAAATATGAATATAGGATGCAGGAATATGCAAATATTTAAAAGTAAACATATGAACCACAAATTCTTAGGAAATCAAGTAAAAAAATTATGTCTTTTATAATGTAAAAAGAAGACCAAAAAAGATGAGGATCAATTGTATCATTTACATCAAAACTACTAGTCCATTGATATTCAAATAAAAATGAAAATGAATTGGGCCAAATTTGAAGAATATTTCAGCATGTTTAGGTTAGTAAACAATGAAGCTGAAGTACCAAATCTCCCATTTAAAACAAATGTCATGCCTTCTACTGTTTTTAGTTGTTGAGAACTTATGAAGCACTTCTGAAAAAACAGTAGCTGAAAAAATAGGGTAGAATTTTGGTGAGGATTATGGGCGTTCTTTTAATTTGGAGATGTGATCATTTAAACTATGTGAAGATTAAACATAGATCAGAGAAAAAGTTTTCATTTCATTGGGGGTATTATCATAAAAGCTTAAGTCAACATAGGTTGTAATAACCTTATCATTAGGTTTCAATACTAGATCGCTTGTAAATGACCCTTGGTGAAAGTCCAATTTTTAAAAGTTTGTCAACATTAGGGATTAGAATAGCCCAAATTATTTGGTACATGTATTGACATTTGAAATCGTGATAGTAGGAACTCAAAAGAAACACACGTCAGATTTCAACTGTTTAGTAGGAAAGTTGTGAAAATTGAGATTTCAATATCGAAAAAAGCGGAAGGGTCCAATTTGTCTTATCAAATCGGTCTGACACTTTGTCAGAAAAATGTTTGGTTCTGTTCAGGAAAGAATCAAATAATTTGGAGCACTGTTGAAACTAAGTCAGTTTGGTTTCCTAAGTTGTAAAATGCTATAGATAAGTGTGAATTAACAAATGATAAATGTCTTTATGAAAATGATTACTAACAGTATGTTAGATAAGCAAGTTATTATTTAGTAACTGAATATGCTATGCATTGCCAAACAAGATATTTAAAGAGTAAATTCAGATATCAGATTGATTTAATTGTTGGTACCAGTTTTAAATATCAGTAGAAGTGGATTTCCTCTCATATGGCTACTATATATTTGTTTATATTTGGTACATTTTTGTATTTACACAGAAAAAAGTTCAGTTGCATACATGTATGCATGCTTATGTTGATATTTGGTGTAATTGACATTTTAGATATTATATTCAAATTTATATACATGTATCACCAAAAAATATAAGATAATGATGATTTAAAAGATATTTGCATGGTTGTGTTGTATTAAAAAAAAAAGATAAACATGTTGCCTACTGTCGGAATGTATTGTCTTTTTTATTCGTCTTTTCCCCCATTGTTCAGCCTACAGCAGCAGAGTGGTACACCAGATACATACCAAGTTTTTGATTCATTTACATGCCAG